CACAGCAGATTTCTAATAATTAGGAAAACTATTCAATATAGTTAAAACTTGTTGTTGATCATTCAAAGCATAACCAGCACTTATAAGTTGTATGCCTAGCAAAATCATTTTCCTAATATGTTCAATCATATAGTCATTTTCTTTCATCTTAAACAGAATAGTACTCTTGAGTCAAAACTCTTAAATTACTCGTAAAAGTCAACCCAAATTTTAGCCTTCCAAGAAAAAAAAGTCACCCCAAATTGTATCTCCAATTCATCATAAATATCTTTGGCATTTTTAAATTCATAAAAACTCAATAATAATTCATCATTCATATTTCTCAAAATTACGTTCCTACACCTCTTATTTTCTTTTTCCCAATTAGCATAAGTTGATCTGCCTGCTCTATTGCTAACATCAGTAGGTTCAGTAGGAACTATAGTTGAAATAAGGTGATCTAAATTTTCATGCTCTAAAATAAACCTAATATATTCTTTTCCATGTATTATAATTCGGCCCATTGAGTCTTTCTATCTTTAATTTTTGCTTAGGATCCATGAATAACAACAAATACATACCCAAAAAAAAAATCTAGTTTATAGATGCGATCTCACTGGGCGATAGTATGGAGTATCAAGAATAGAGCTCAGGATAAATATGCAACAACCGGTGAATTGAAGAAACCTCGATATGAATCCAGCTCAATCAATGATTCTTCCAAACCTTCTCATCAAAAAAACAAAAACCCAAATTGCTAACAAACAACAATATATGGTATTCAAGTATTTTATTTTCTCTCTCTAGATTTGGGGAAAAATGATATGGATTAAACCGCAGTGAAATAGAAAAAAGATTCATAGATTATGAAGCACCGGAGAAGATGACTCTCTATTATCTCAGGATAATAAACAACAATGAAAATCAGATATATGAGCAGGCGAGGAGAATACACAGTGTCTCAGAAATAGGGAAAGATTGAAAGACTGATTTTCTAATCATACAATAGGGTTTACAAGCTTTGTTTTGTAGTACTTCACAGCAACCAAAAAATAGAAAGGGAAAGAGGCACATACCTGTTATATAGCCGTTAGAGTGTGCAATTCATGATCCAAGAAGTAATTTTGGAAAGAAAAGAGTCATACCCGTTGAAAAAGAGAATGAAATAATTTTGGCAGGATACAACCATTTTCGTTGAAGAAAGAAAACAAGCAAGTTTGGCAAGGGACATCATGTCCGATTTAGAAGACTATTTTTGGCAAGAAACGGCCATATCCGTTGAAAGAAAAAAAAATGTTACAATTTTTTTTTTTTTTTCCATGATCAATGGCAATGAATGTTTGCAGAGAAAAGAAACAATCATCCATTGAAAGAAAAAAAAAAATGTCATTGAAGAACCAAAAAAAAATGAAGGAAATATATGGAACTTACCTTTCTCATTCCTCATCATGCTCACAATTCTTTGGATCTTCGGATTCGGATATATTACAAATTATAGAGATGCGTCTTTGTAGGTGATCAGAGAGAAAATGGGGCAGGAGGCTTTGCCTCAAGTTTTGACAGAGATTTGGTGTCGGATCTTTGCTCCAAAAAAAAATCTTCCTCATCAACAAAATTTTTAGAGAGAGAAAGAGAAAAGAACCATTCTTTTACAAAGTTATAGGATAGGAGACTTGTCCTTTTAAGTATAAAGGGGAGGTGGAAAACAAATAGACAAAAATGCCTTTGAAAAGGATTTGATTTGAGCTATAATAATTTGTTATGGGGAGTACAAGGAAATAACTTCATAAGTGATAAAAAAAAAAAGGACCAAAAAAGCCTAAATTTTATTATTATTATTGGCAAAAAAAATTCCATGTTAATCGATTTTATGATATGTGCCAAAAAAATATTTTAAATTAGGATTAACAAATTGTCACCAAACTGTTAGTCAACATAATAAGCTAAACCTGTCATTAGTGCACTAATGACTCACACAATAGGATGTTATCTAAGCATTCTTACAATTTGATAAAAAATATTTAATAATTTTGTACATCTATAATATATATAAAAAAATTCTTACAAAGAATCCAAACACATCACTAGGTTTTCCCTCCAATGACACTGGGTTTTCCTCCAGTGAAACATCCTGTAAAAGCTCCAAAATGAATCCTAATATATAGCATTGCCAATCACATGGGATTTCACATATACTATACAATATGGCTTTTGTACCATTATTGAAAAATAAATTCCTGAGATAAAAGGGCCTGATAAGTCATATTTCCAACATCCTGAATAGACAGGATTGAGCAACGCAAAAAAAAAAAACACCTCAATCATCACACAAGATGAAATAACGGAAAACTCCATCATCCAATTGGATTGACTAACGGAAAACTTAATCATTAAACATAATCGAATAACGGAAAAACTTGATCATCAACTAGGATCAAGAAATTTGATCATCAAATAAGAGGCACTTGGAAGAGCCAACATAAATCAGCAGCGGTTCACCAAGTAAGTTGGACCTTATATTCAGAGTTGAGAACAATAATATCCAAAATAGATCAAAGAGTCGAAATATGACTTGGCAGATAGACAAATCCGATAGTCGAAACAGGACTCGGTGGTTGTTTTGCAGATGGTGCAGATCGACCGTTTTCAAATGCCATGTTCAGAGATGGATTTAGAAGTGGGTTTCTGATCCGGCTCATCAAGGGTCCGGCATTAGAGGGGAGCACGACAACAATGATTTATCAGGGTTTCGATGCCAGATGAACAGAGATGCGCAATCAGATTAATGGCCTCACCGATCAGATAAACTAAAAACAGAGGCTCGATACTTGAGAGACGAAATACCAAATCGTGACTCTAAAAGACTCCCCGATGCCTTCTATTCACCTCTGGCAGCAGTAGCATGACCTGAAAACTATTGTTCTAAAGGTAACAACAACTAGAGAAAGACAATATCATATAGCACATGAAAGATCAGATAACAAATCGAACAGTCAAAACATGACTCGGGTCTTCTTTCTTCTGGTGTGGGTGCTTTGGTTGGGAAAGCCAATGAGAGGCGCCTGCAGAATATTGAGAAGGAATCCTTCCATTCAATAACGCCATAGGATTCAACCTGGAAGGGATGGAGCTGTCATGGGTGCCATTGTTTGGCCATCGTCAAAGCATGACATGTGGCGAAGCATCAGGAAAAAGCAAACTACCTCTTGGCTTCTAGTGTTGGCTATTACATTGCTGGAGAAATCAAGACCAAAGAGAAAGACGGACCCTTGGTGAGAGAGTGTGAGAACCCAAATTTGAAAAATCCGTGAAGGGTCTTTCACTAGAAAATACCTTTGCCAAAAAAATAAAAACTAGTCCCTATTATATTGCTGGAAAAATACTTGGTTAGGAGAACATGTGGTAAACTATAATTTTGTATATTTGGGCCTTAAGCCCTATGGAAGATCTATTTTAGAGCTTGTTAAAGATATGAATAAGAGCTCCAATTTATTGGTTTACAAAGTTGTGTACTACTAAAAAAAGTAACATATGCAATGAACCACCTTCCTAATATGAATATACATAAAAGGAAGGAAAATATTGTACTAAACGGCGAACGAACTGGGAACCGACCAGCATGAGAATCGGGCGACCCTATAGAAGCATCCTCAATGGATGACTGGGCACAAGTCCCCTGGAACGGGTGCTGAAGAGGGCGAGCGCCCTGTCGTGCTCGGACCTTGCCGCACTACAAAGCACTGTCGGCAAGTCGGGTTGTTTGGAAATGTAGCCCTAATTGGGCGGTAAATTCCATCCAAAGTTAAACACTGGCTAGAGACCGATAGCAAACAAGCGACCCCAGGTCAAGCATGGCCACCCGCTGAGTTTAAGCATATTAATAAGCGAAGAAAAATATTGTACCAAAAAATATTTGCATGTTTTTATAACTTTCACAAAACAAATATATAACCAACAAGAAGATCATTCAAAAAAGGAAAATGATTTAATAGGGTTGCAGCCCTATAAAAAAAAGTAAAGCCTCACCCCACAATTTATCAAAAATTCCAATTCAAGTATTGGAAAACCTTTACATTGATCATCTCGAGCTTCTACGTTATAGTTGTGAAAAACAATTAGAATTTCAAGCTCTAAAAGTAGTGCATATTGTAATAAATTATCTAAACCATCATTTCGTCCTAAAAATAAGTGTTTACAGATCCACCACATCTATACCAGGTTTTTAGTCTCAAATTTTATTGTCGGTGATGGAAATTGATTTTTGAGCCATCATGAAGATTTTGTTGCCAGAAGTGCTTTTTGGATGAGGATTTGGGATGAGGCTTTATATTGTTTTCATAAAGCCTAAGGCTTATAGAAACGTCATCCTTAAAAAAAAAAAAAAAATATCTTCATACCCCTTATTTTTAGGTTTCATTTCATACTAGACCCAATGTTTTAAAAGATATCTTTGGGCATAAAAATTGTAGATTTTATTTCTTCTAACCATGAGCTAATTTAAATATATTTTTTAGGCTCAACAAATCTAAAAAGATATGTCTTTTCTAAAAGTCATCCTACCAAACTTCTAAATAGAGAGAAGGGCTTCATGGAGGTGAGAGGTTATCGCGACGAGAGAGGCATTTGGATAAATATGGGAGGAGAGAGAGTGAAAGAGATGGAGAGAGAGAGTAAGAGAGAAGTTTAGAGTATATAAGTGAAGAAATTTGACATATTAAGTTTTAAAATAGTGTTTTTATCGCATTTATTTAGGTTAAAAAAAAAAGATTTAAAATGGTCAACGCATAGAAGATATTTTTTTAAAACCACGCGTTTATCCATAAATAAAATCTAAAATAAGAGATATAATAAATATATTTTCCCTAAAACAAATCGGCTAATGGGACGCGGAAGTCCCTCTTTCGCACGCGTGAATCTTGCCGTCCGTAAGTTCATCGTGCGAATATTCGCTTATTGGATGCCCCAACTTTCCGGAGTATTTCGACGTCAGCTTTCTACCTCACGATAAAATCCAAGGAGAAGGGGACAGAGAAACGGAAAAGCCGATAGGCCAAACCCTAGTATTGTGGGGAGATCAAAAAACGGAGACGAAAGACAAAGGGAAACCCTATGTATCCAGAGAGAGACACGAAAGAAACAGGGAAACGCTATAAATCTATAGAGCCAAAGAAGAGATACTTCTGCACCATCTTTGATAGCCATGGCAGCTCTGATAAATCGCTCTCTCTCTCCTTTCCCTTCATCCTCAGAACTGGTAAACCCTCTTCCTCTAACCAAACCAAGGGCCTGCTCTATCATAGCCATGGCCAATCCAAGGGACCAGAGCCTCCCAAATCAGAAATCGTCGACCGAGATCATGCGAAGCACCATGATTAATTCAGATTCGAAGCAGCCATGGTGGACCCCTCTGTTCAAGATGAACTGGAATCCTTCGCCGGGAAACAGCCGGAAGACTGAAATTCAGGCACCTGATTTGCCGGAGAACAGGCCAAAGGGTCAATTGAGGCGATCGGTTCTTACAGCTGAGAAGGCCAAGCTTTTGCGCAAAGAAATTAGGGCTACAGAGACATGGCATGATCTCATGTACCATTCTGCCATTGCTTCTCGCTTGGCTTCACCTGATCAGTGACGGGTTAGAGAAGGGAAATCGATTTTCGTTTTATTTTTATGTGAGCCTTTTTTTTTTCTTTTTTGTTAATAGTTGATAGATCATATATGGATAAGAAACTTTTTATTTTTTTGGTTTTTCAGTATCTTTAACTGTGAATTTGGCGGGCTTTATCAATTCTGTAACCTGCCATCTTTCTTTCCATCTTCTTTTGCGGAGTTAAGTGATCTTTGTAAGTAGTTGTGGATTTAAGTGATCTGTATAATTTATATCATATCAAAGTAAATGGATGGATCCAATATGGATAAAGAAGTATATGGAATTTTAAGCTTTTTGTTTGTATTAAATCGCTCGTTTGAGTTGTGTTTCTTTATGTTACTTGTTAATTTTGTGAATTTGATGGTAGAAGTGGCGTATTTATTATGGGTGCAGTTTGTATGGAGCCTCGGCTGTAAGTAAAGTACACCTTGTACTTAAATGTAGTTTTAATATTGAAAATCTTTGCGCTAGCTTTAAAATATATTTTCATCTATAATTATAAAATTTAAAGCTTAAAAAATAGTGTTGATCAAATATATCTATGAAAACTTGAAAATTGACAGTCCAAAAATGTGTTACAAGATGCATTATTTTCAAAACTCCAAAATTTGAAATTCATTTTTTTCCATGTCGATACATCTCAATGTCGAGAGGATCAATTTGAAGATATTTGGGCATCAAAACGACTTCTTTTAGTGAATTTTTTTAGGTGGGCGGCTCTATATAAACTTTTTCTATTTATTATAAGGAAATTTGATATCGAGATGATCAATTTGAGCATATTTGGACATCAAAGCAACCTCTTCCGGTGAAATTCTTTATATAGACTTTTTTATTTATTATAAGGAAAATTTAAAACTTTTTTTATTTATTATAAGGAAAATTTAATCATAGATATGTGTTTATGATATTTTTAATGCACTTGTATCCCGGGTGCCAATAACGAGGGAGGCAGTCACAACGTGGTCTCATGGTACAAAAAATACATGCGGATCATGAAAGCACTATAGAAAATAAGCCTATTTTTGGGGAACTCGAAAATGTCGGATCAGCCTCAAAATCCATTGGTTTGGATTATCTAAGTCATCAAATTTCGTCACACTCATCACATTTTGTCACAATCTAACAAAACGCATTGGATGGTAGCTTTGAATTCCCTAGGGACACTCATCCCTAAGGATGGTAGCTTTGGATTTCCTAAGGACATTCATCACATTTTGTCACAATCTGACAAATTTGAAGCCAATTAAATTCCTTAAGGACACTCATCACATTCCCCTATTCATCGGGCCCAAATCGCGGAAATACTCATTCTCCTACTCACACTAGACCTAAAGAACTAAGCAGTATGATCAATCACTTAACGACACCAATCCCTATCACATTCACCGTCAATAATATACTCCCATTTAGCGACACCAACCCCTATCATATTCACCGTCAATGATATACCCCTAGGGTTCGATCGCTTCCATAATCATCCACTTTATATCACCGTTTTCATGAGCGGATACGAAATCATGCAAGTGATAGTTGATCATGGGGCATCTTTGAATATCTTCCCTTTGAAAACTATTCTAAGAATACGGCTATCTCAAACAAACCATGAGGCTTTTGAAAACTATTCTAAGAATAGGGTTATCTCAAATAAACCATGAGGCTTCAAACATCTCAGTTGCAACCTATGATGGAGCTCAAAGAGAAACCTTCAGGATCATCCCTCTCACTCTTAAGATTGGACCAGTGGTCCAAATAGTGAGGTTATATGCCGTTAACATTGAACCCTCCTTTAACCTACTCATTGGTAGCTCATGGCCACATGAAATCTTGTCGTGGCTTCCACTTTACACCAATGCCTGAAGTTCCCAACTGCCGAAGGTGTGGCTCGGGTATGTACAGATGCTGTCAAAGCAGCAAAGAGGAGTTCTCTAAAAAATTGAAAATTCGAGAGATCATGCTTCTAACATATAAAGAGAATTGCGCCATGATCCATATAATGCAAAAGGAATCATCTCCCCGGACAATTGATGGCTACAAAATGTCCGAGAAACGGAAAGATTGTTGTGCTCGTTACAACTTCGTTCATACACGGCATGGCATATGCTACTAGCCTAGGGGTTTTGCCTAGGCCCCGTGTTTATTCTCGAAATTACGGGTAGGGGGACTACGCCCCCGCTTTGATTTCGGGTGCAAACAAATCGATAAGTTGGTAGAGTATCGGTCCCTTCAAATTACATTCCGAGGAAGAATCAGGTCCTAAGACCTTATCCCTCTTAGATCTCGCCGACAAAGCCGGTTTCCCTACTATCTTTACCTTGGAACTCAAATAAGAAGGTTTTGAAAGGGGTTTGTAGATAAAATGGAGATTTTAAGAAAATAGATATAAAAAGAGAATAAGAGAAGAAAACCACAAATAAGCAACTAAACTAGAAAGATGCAAGTAAACATGAGTGAATAATCTAACTATTAGATACAAGAAAAACAAAAAGTTGAAAGCATGGAAGCAAAAGAAGTAAGTATAATTTAAAAATGCATCATATAAGATGAGAGAGAGATATAACCATGGAGACGCGGGTATGGTTACGAGAAAGGAAGAGGATGAGATCTTCATCGACATGACAGAAAGATATGAGTATAAGATGCGAATAAAGATAAAAATACAACATGAGGAGAAGTAAAAGAGAAGACAAGAAAATAAGAGATGGCTTACATTAATATAAAATATGCAATAAGAAAAATAAAAATAAATAAAAGAAAGAAATGAAGGGAGAGCATGAGATATAGGGTTAAGGTGAAAGAGACAGAGGGAAGTAAGAGATGGTTTATAAATAGGGGAAGAGAAAGATAGATAGATACTGATCCCTAATATAAAATAATGGAGATCAACAAAGTTAAATAATCAATAAGAGAGAGAAAGAAATTAAGTTGTTGAACAAAACCTAAAGGAAAAAGGAAAATAAATATAAGAGATGATAAGGGATTAGGGAAGGATAACCTCAAACTATCAACAAAAGATAGATAAACAGGTGGGGAAGATAGATGTAATTGGAAGAAAATGAAAAAAACTAATCTATTGGACAAAACGTAAGGGAAAAGACAAAATAAATGTAAAAAGAAATGAAGAATGAAAATAATGAAAAAGATGAGATTCAAACCATAAGATACAAAGAAAGAAAAGAGATTAAAGCGGAGAGCCCTTAACTAAGATGGAAAAATATAACCAATAAGCCTCAGATTAGAATATATGAGAGATATGAGAGAGAGAGAGAGAGAGAGAGAGAGAGAGAGGAGGGGTAGACACTACCACCTATTCTAGTATATTACTTCTTACCTACTACTCGTAACGTAACGAACCAAAGTAGTACTACGTAGTTAGTTGTTGTAGACGACCT